CTTTCACAAACAGCATACCCCAATGAACTCACCTGCAACAGCTTTAATTATTACCTCTTACTAGGACCAAGCTCATTTCAGTGGATGCTACAGCTTTTGCTGAAAGCTTTCATCACCTTGCCATTGTAAAGTACAATAATGTATTTCCTTACAGCGCCTTCTTATTTTCCACTTGCATTGCTCTGGAAATTGAAAATATTAGGTAGAAATCTTTGTGACTCATTTGCGCAGTGGACATTTCATGGCTTTGCATTTTGCTTGCTTGCTTTGTTTTTAAATTAAATGTTTACCTCAATTAAATCATGAATACATCTTTCCATTAAAGCAAACACATTTATTATTGAGTTTCTTTCTGCAACCAATAGAATGAAAACAATAGAGAAGAGTGCTGAACAAAGCACAATTCAACTGAGAATACAAGATACATAATTTCTTTAAGTTTAAATACTGTGGATATTAGAAAGCAGTGTTTCTCATGTAATGGGTCATGACCAGGGGTGGTCTGGGCAGGGGGGCACCCCTTGGTCACGACCCACTCTAATGCCTCCACCATCACCCCAGACTTTGAGACACTTATCAAGAGCAAGAAGCATCCCCAGTTTTCCCATTAGTTTGAATTAATTTCCTATGTTTCAATTATCATTTATTGTATTGGGTTTTTACCTCAACGGCACTTTCATTTTGACTAGCACTGTGATTACTGCACTAACCATTTTGGAAGGAAGCTGTTTGTGTACTGTTTAAAAAGTGCATATACATTGTAGAATACTGCACAGGTTGTTTTGTGGAATAGATTATGTTTCAAATTATTTTTGGATCACGACTTAATGACCAAGGAAAAATGTGGGTTCACAGGTTGGGAACCATTGCTATATAGGGTCCTATCTATCCAGGGGTCACAACCCTACCAGGACAGACAGAATTAAAGTAGCATTCCTATTTGCAGATTAAATGGATTTACATATTTTTCAAGATTTGACCTGGCCTACAATGATTCTCAGCTGGAAGCTCCAGCATTTATAAGATGTTGGCATATGACACAATCATGTTGGTGCCTTGGCTGTGTTCACACATATTTGATCAGATCAGCCCTCTGTGGCATTGTGACGTGCAACAAAGTTACAGTAGTTCAGACTGATCACTGGGGGGAAAGGAGACTGAGGAAATGCTTCCTATTGCCTGCAGTTGACAGTCTACTTAACCAGAGTTCAAGCAAGTTTATCTGAAAAAGTATGCTATAGCATACGCTAGTATGCTATTGATGTACTGAGAAAATGTATATTATAAAGAGTGTGCTTGTTAAAGCCCAACCTCTGTAGCTGTAGGATAAAGGTACCAGATGGATATCAGGGATGGATGGGAGCACACTGAGGCAGCTCTTCTTAGAGTGGAATCAAGGCTCTAATACAGTAAATATTAAAAAGAGAGGAAGGCGCCTAAGATAAATAGTTAAAACATTTGATACACAGACACATCCTAGGTCATACTTCCTGATTCTATAGACAGAGTTTGCTGCTGGACAGCTGGATGTCTCACCTGGATCTTAATACACCACACGATGAGTCTTTTAAACTATTTATCTTAAGCGCCTTCCTCTCTTTTTCATGCTATTGATGCACTGTTTATTTAGGTTTTGTGTTGTAACCTAGGAGTCTTTTTACAAAGTAATATGAGAATTACTTCATTTTGATTGCAGAAGATATATATATATATATATATATATATATTATACACACTATATTGCCAAAAGTATTGGGACACCCCTCCAAATCACTGGATTCAGCTCTTCCACTTCCATGGCCACAGTTGAATAAAATCAAGCACGTAGGCATGCAGACTGCTTCTTGATATACACAAGATACAATGTCTGGTATATATTCAGTCCAAACAGTGAAAAGGTCTCACACATGCTGTGTCACCATGTTCAGGAGGAATATATCAGAATGTATTCTGTTTGGGGTGTAATTCTACATTTTAATCTTAATAACTGATGAGTTTGTGTAATTAAAATAAATTTTACAGTTTAAAAAACTTGTGGCAAATAATAAAATCTTCCAAAGACTCTCCATGCCTCTTAAAAAATACCTTGGGATGTTTACTCTCCAAAATGTGGTTATTTTGTGGGTGTTTGTACTGTCCTGATGCTCCAGGGCCTCCAAAACTGTAATAGGTAGTCAAATAATTAGATACGTAATTCATGCCCCTTGAAAGCCTGAAGGATTTTGTGCCCCTTTATGTGGCTAGGCTGTAAAAAAGTGGTATCGCCATATTTGGAAGAAGTAGCAGAATGTGTTTTGGGGTGCAATTCTTAATATGCCTATGATGTGTGTTAGAAATATCTTAATTGACAACTTCTGTAAAAAAAAAAAAATTTCATTTTCTTTCCACATTTTCCAAAAACTTTTGGTAAAACATGACAGTTTAAATAGTCTCACCATGCCTTTCATAAAATAGTTTGGGGTCTTTGCTTTCCAAAATTGGGTCTTTTGTGGGTGATTTTCCCGTCCTGGCACTTCAGGAACTCAAGAAATACGATAGGTAGTCAGGAAATTAAATGCGTAAATTATACTCCTCGAAAGCCCAAAGGCGATCCTTGGATTTTGGACCCCTCAATGCATCTCGGCTGTGAAGAAGTCTCACACATGTGGTATCCCTATACTCGGGAGGCATAGCAGAATGTGTTTTTGGGGTGTAATTGTAAGTATGCCTATGCTGTGTGCAAGAATAACTTGTTAAAATTACAACTTTGTGAAAAAAAAAACACATTTTATGTAACTTCTTCATTTTTCAAAAATTGTGACAAAAAAATAACTTCAAAAACGTCGCCATGACTCTTACTAAATAAATTGGTTTGTCTACTTTCCACAAAAAGGGGCCTTTAGGGAGTATTTGTACTGTCCTGGCATTTTAGTGCCTGAAGAAATGAGATAGGCAGTCAGCACATCAGAACTGAACAATTTTCAAATATACACTGCTCAAAAAAAATTAAAGGAACACTTTTAATCAGAGTATAGCATCAAGTCAATTAAACTCCTGGGATATTTATCTGGTCAGTTAAGTAGCAGAGGGGGTTGTTAATCAGTTTCAGCTGCTTTAGTGTTAAGGAAATTAACAACAAGTGCACTAGATGGGCAACATATTTTCCCTACTCATCTTTTGTGACTGTTTTTCACTAATTTTATATTTGTCTAGGATTAGTGTACTGGTAGAATCAGGTGATACCTGGACCTTATAGAGGTTGCACAGGCAGTCCAATATGTGCCATTGCCAGAAGGTTTGCTGTGTCTCCCAGCACAGTCTAAAGGGCATGAAGGAGATTCCAGGAGACAGGCAGTTACTCTAGGAGAGATGGACAGGGCCGTAGAAGGTACTTAACCCATCATCAGGACCAGTATCTGCTCCTTTGTGCAAGGAGGAACAGGATGAACACTACCAGAGCTCTACAAAATGAACTCCAGCAGGCCACTGGTGCGAATGTCTCTGACCAAACAATCAGAAGTAGGCTTCATGAGGGTGGCCTGAGGGTCCGACGTCCCCTGGTGAGCCCTGTGCTCACTGCCCAACACCATAGAGCTCGATTGGCATATGCCATTGAACACCAGAATTGGCAGGTCTGCCACTGGCACCCTGTGCTTTTCACTGATGAGAGCAGGTTCACCCTGAGCACATGTGACAGACAAGAAAGGGTCTGGAGAAGCCGTGGAGAATGTTATGCTGCTTGTAACAACGTTCAGCATGACCGTTTTGGTGGTGGGTCAATGATGGTCTGGGGAGGGATATCCATGGAGGGACGCACAGACCTCTTCATGCTAGACAATGGCACCCTGACTGCCATTAGGTATTGGGATGAAATCCTTGGACCGATTGTCAACCCTACGCTGGTGAAGTGGGTCCTGGATTGCTCCTGGTGCAAAACAATTCCCGGCCTCATGTGGCGAGAGTATGCAGGCAGTTCCTGGTTGATGAAGGAATTGACACCATTGAATGGCCCCATGCTTGCCTGACCTAAATCCAATAGAACACCTCTGGGATATCATGTTTCAGTCCATCCGACACCGCCAGGTTGCACTTCAGACTGTCCAGGAGCTCAGTGATGCCCTGGTCCAGATCTGGGAGGAAATACCCCAGGACACCATCCTCCGTCTCATTAGGAGCATGCCCGACGTCAGGCATGCATACAAGCACGTGGGGGTCATACAAACTACTGAATAACATTGAGTTGCTGCAATGAAATTTCAGCAAAATGGACTAGCCTGCTGCATCGTTTTTTCACTTTAATTTTTGGGTTGTCTTTGAATTCAGCCCTCTGTAGGTTGATCATTTTCATTTCCATCAAATGATGGGGCATCCTTATGTTCCTAACACATTACCCAGTCCATATCAGCTTAGATATACAGCATGATATTTTTCCCCATTGAGATCTGATGTTCCTTTAATTTTTTTTTGACCAGTGTATATATACCATAGTTTGTAGACTATAATGGTAGAGGTTCTGTATATAATCCTACAGAACAGACAGTGCACAGTCCATGTGTGTTTATCTGCTGCTTCCCTGCTAAAATAAACCAGGATCTTCTATTATAGAAAAAAGACATAGAGTTTAAACATAGATGCAGTTACAAACTTATAAACAATGCCATCTTCTGGTAGAAGAATATATCTGTACTGAACACTGACACTGACGTAGTTGTACAAAAATACATGAACCATGTATTCCAACTTAAAACTCACCCAGACTAAATAATACACGCTGATTTGAGTTATTTTTACCAAAGAAATGTAGCAGAATACATTTTGGCCTAAATTTATGAAGAAAGAATATTAATGTTCAGTCACTGGCTCTTTGCTCAGTGAAGACCAGGAACTGTGCAATCAGCGGTGTTTGATTGCTCAGTTTCTCAGTCTTAGAGCTGGCGGGGGACAGATGTATCATGGATCAATGCTCCATCCACCAAGATGAGTATGAACCTTGTTTTTTTAAATGTACAAACTTCTCCTTTAACCATGCCGTCCGCCTTTTTTTAAACGGCACACTCCAGGGGCGGGTTGCCGTTCATAAACAGCACCCGCTATTTCTAAGTTGTGCGCGCTGCACCGCGAGTGCCTGCTGTTTCCTCTAGTACAGTCCCGATCATGTTATCACTGATTGGCCAATCAGTGATCACATGCAAAGTAGTAAGCAAGATGTCACTTTTGACATCATTGCTTACTACGTGTGAAATCTGTGAATGATCACAGAGGTCACATGGTACAAGGCTATTCACAACAGCCTTGTACCATGTGACAAGCTTGACCAATCACAGCTCACACAGTATTTCTCAATGGCTGCAAGAAGTTGCAGACAGAGAAAAAGAGAAATGATTGCTTTTTACATCCATGGTTTTTATATATGGGTGTAAAAGCAATCACTGTAAAAAAAAAAAAAAAAAAATCATGGCCCCCCCCCCCCAAAAGTAGTACAGTGTCACCAAGGTGACACTGTACTGCTAGGGTGACGGTATGTTAAAAAAAAAAAAACATAAATAATAATATAAAAAAAAAAAAAATAAAAATGTAAAACAAAATGTTTAAAAATTATATTTTTGGTTTATAACTAATTTGGCATATTTTTTTTTTTTACTAAAAAATAACGGAATATAAGCCAAGATTTATGATGAAAATATTATTTATTTGCAAAATTTTATAAGAAAAACACTTTTTTCAAAATTTTTTCATTTATATAGCAGAAAAAAATAAAAATCCCAGCGGTGAATAAATACCACCAAAATAAAGCTTTATCTGTCTCAAAAAAATGGTAAAAAATTCATATGGGTACAGTGTTGCATGAACCGCGCAAATTGTCATTCAAAGTGTGATACACTGAAAGCTGAAAATATTGCCCTGGACAGGAAGGGGGTGTAAAAGTGTCCGGTACAGGAATGGTTAAATAATTTTTTTTCACCTTTCTCTGGATTAACAATGGTTTCTACAGTTGCAAGTGTGTTTTTTCTAGTTTCAGCCTATTTTAGTATAATTTAAAAGTGTAAGTTGAAAAATCTGAACATTGCAGGTAAATGTAGTATTTAAATCAGTTCTTCTAATGGAATTGAAATCAGGATTTCAAACATTAAACATTTTGTAGATCTGTGTAATCAGTACTAAAAAGCACTGTTAGCCATTGAATATTTTGTAATATTGTAATATTAGTATGCAGTGTTTTTGTATAAATTCAAGGGTAATTTACTAAATAATTAGACTAAGTATTTAGCATGTTTTTTACAGATATGGTAGCTACCCATGCTCTGAATAATGATTTACAGATGCTTGGTGTGGACTTTTTGTGCCTTAAAGGCTTGTTTGTTAAAGGAGTAGTGGTGCAATGTTGCTAAGTTCTCTATTTTGTGTTTGTTATATATGCTTTTACAGGCATTGTATATGAATAGATATACAGCACACAGAACCTCTTTCAATGAACCACACCTGCAATGCACCCTAAATTGTTCAGATGTGAGCAGTGCCTTAATTGTTACTGTTTTACTATTCAATATCTTTTAACATAGCATCAGCACCAATAACAGTTTAAATTGTTTGTTACCCTGGACATTTTATATGATATGTGTATGTTGTACTGTAGTTGTTAATGAGTATCATGTTCTCTTTGTATTTCTTCCTTTGTGTGAAATACCTGGTGATCCTGCCAGTCCCCCCCCTGCTCTCCCATTTCAAATTGACCATGTCAGGCATAAAAGCACATTCTCCCCAGCATGGTCAGTTTGAGTACAACCTGCCTGTCCTCCAATGGCCAACACATGTATTGCTATTTTTCTTCCTCTTGCTGACATGTCCCCCTGCAGACTCCACCCCTACTTCTTATGCATCTGAGAGCAAAGATTATGTGAGTATTTATGTAACAAAAAACAAAAAATATATATATATATTGCCTTGAATTTATATTTTACACTGAATGTCCTGTTTTTCAAGGTGAGCGTTCACATATAATTTAAGCTTTGATAACTTTGAGGATATTAGTATATTAATATTATGAATTTATATAGCGCCAACAGTTTGCTCAGTACTTTACAATATAACGGGAGACAATACAGCAACAATACAGTTCAATACAAGAGGGTTAGGAGGGCCCTGCTGCTTGGAGCTTACAATCTAAGAGGATATTCTTTTTCACAGGAGACATAAATCAAAAACATAACATATATGGTATTTCATAGTAACTAGTGGAGTCATTATTGATTTCCTATTCACCCAGATTTGATTTTTTTTTTTTTTTTTTTTTCTTGATTATGTCTATGATTTTCTTATTGGCTGTATTCTTTATTTTTGCCACTAGAGTGCAGTGTTGTTATATTTGAACCTTATCTATTAGAAAGAAAAAAAAACTTGAAAAAGCTCAAGTAATGTTCATCCAACAACTAGTCAAATTCAATTTATTATCATTTTTGAGATTTGCCATAATATTGTCTATTAATAATCGAGTGATAAAACAATATTTGTAAAATATTTGTACATTAAAGAACAGTATGACAAGCACAGCTGATGATATATGCCCGACATATTCTCTGTTCTTGGAGATGACTGTCTGTAAAGCAATAATCTTGATTATGTGAGTTACTTGCCCATTATCACAGCCCATTCATGCAGTTCAAATTCATTAACCGGACTTTAAGTCAAGCATTTCATGTGTATGCTGTAATTTGGAAAGCTGTTTTGGCTGTTCCTGCATATCTTATTGTGGCTTACATGTTCAAGCAGAGCTCAAAGGCTATGGAAAATGTTATACTTAGAAGATTGGCATCCTTTATTGTAATTGCTGGCATTCTAATTCAACAGTACATTTATTGTTTTATAATTATCTTCTTTGGCATTTGCAGCAGCCTGTGAGTGCAGTTTAATTCAAGCTTTTTTTTTTTCAGATTTGCTGCTCGGTTATGATAAATGGTTGTGTTTTTACAGAAAAAGTGGGGAATGCACAGTATAATTAACTATAACACGTATGTAAATATATCTTTTAGAAACAAAACTGCTGCCCACAGAAAACAGATCGTAACTGTCTTTGTTCTAGTGCAGAGCAGGGGCGGGACTGACAACTCATGGGGCCCCCAGGCAATAGGGGATCATGGGGCCCCTGTGTCCTTGCCCAAACTCAAAAAAGCCTATGAAAAAGGTACCAGGGGCATCTCATGGGGCCCCCTACTGACCCTGGGCCCTTGGGCAGTGCCCGAGTTTCAAAATGGTCAGTCCACCCCTGGTGCAGAGTATATTAAAAAAAAATTTGGAACCTAATCCTTTCTTTTCTGAACTCCTTTTATCTCCTCTCCTCTTTTATTTAAAAGCATATCCTGGATATGTTATTTGTCATAGATCCTAGATTGTAAGCTCCAAGAAGCAGGGTCCTCCTATCCCTCTTGTATTGAACTGTATTGTTGCTGTATTGTCTCCCGTTATATTGTAAAGTGCAGAGCAAACTGCGCTATATAAATCCTGTATAATAATAATAATCCCACTGTATGCTGTTTGTTAATTGTCCTGTATTTACATGCTTTGTTGTCATTAGTGGGGCTGGTTATGAAGAGAAGGCTATTAGCTGTCAGTAGGATGGGCTCAGTGTAAAGCCGAAATATCAGCCAGTGATTAGACATTGTGGGGGATATTTACTATAACTGGAGAGCGCAAAACCTGGTGCAGCTCTGCAGAGAAACCAATCAGCTTCCAGGTTTTATTGGCAAAACTTAATCGAACAAGCTGCAGTTAGAAGCTGATCGGCTTGACTACCATGTACAGCTGCATCAGATTCTGAGTGATCCAGTTTTAGTAAATCTACCCCAATATGACAACTAACATATAAACATAGGGGAGTGATGGCAGAAAAATACCAAGTGGTCATTCTAGTCTGCCCACTTAATTTTTTTAAAGCTTTTTGTCTTAGTATAGATCTATGTTTGTCTCAAACACGTTCAAATTCACTAAGCCCCGGTTCACATATATGCTGGGCATAAATGGGTCAATATTTGAGCCAATTTGAGATTTAGCAAAATACAATTTTTTTTTTGCTTCTTGTAAAAAGCAGAGTCTATACTCACCAATCATAAATAAGCAGAGCAGGATACACAACACTCACGATCATTAGCGGTTGGTTTGCTCAAATATAAAAGTAGCATACAGGAAGCTGTGGTGATTTATTGATGAGCAGCATTTAAGCCAGCGCTTGTGTTCAAGGTTCATTTCTAACGATATCCCTACTTGAATGGAACAATTCTCCCTTGTTGCATGGGTTTCTGTGGATGCTCTGGAAAAATAATCAGCAACAAATTTGGAAAGGCAACAAGGACAAATGTGTAACAATAAAGAATCCCACTTGTGTATGACACATAACACATTTTTTAATTTAAGTCATTAGAAAGTTTCAGACCAGTACTACAACTGTGCCCCCACTTGGGGAGGACCAAAGAGCAGGAAAATAAATATGTTGTAATTTTTCAGCCGTGTTTTGAACCAGAAGCAATCCATCTAATGCTGAGTGTCATGATTAAAGCTGTATCCTTGTTGCCTATAGGCTACAAAGTAGGTCTTAGGTTAGTACAATGCTGGCAAAAGTTTATTTCCTCATTTTGACCCCTTTAAAGTATGCCTGTCTTGCTCTCACCATTAAGACATTAGCAGTTTTAACCAGATCTAATGATAATATTGTGGGCTTTAGGTATGGCAATATCCATGAAAAAATCACGCTGTAGAGAGACAATATGATTTGCTCCTGGGTGATATGGACTTCTCTCTCTCAGGGCTATTATATGTCCATTATTTCAATGCTTGGCATGCACTTTGGTCTCACTATCAACTGGTCCAAATCTGCACTGATGTTGCTTGGTTGCGCTGTCACACTGATTGTCTTTTTTGCCTGGTGCAAATCACGCCATCCTTCAGATATCTCAGTATTATCATCTCACCCACCTCACTTATTACTGTACTAATAACATAATGCCTCTGCTACTGTGTCTCAAGACAATGCTAAAATTTGGAATATTTTGTGGTTTTCCTTAATTGGCAAAACTAACCTCATCAGAATGATATTTATGCCACAACTTTTGTATTTTCTACACAACACCCCAATTGTTATCCCTTTGAAGATCTTTTGCATTGTCAATTCCATTCTTAGAAATTTGCTAGGAGAAATCAGGCACCCAGGATCAAGCTAGAGCAATTGAAGCACCAAAAAGACAGAGGGGGTTGTGCTACCAAACCTGTGGCTACAATACTTGGCAGCTCAACTGCAACATATGATTGGCTATATGAATAGTTCCCCAGTAGAGCTTAACTCTCCTGTGGATTCCATGTTATCCATTATTCTGCATTTGATGAGATCCCAAGACCTTTATGGGGGTCTGGAATCTCTTTACATCTGTAAACTCAACAAACATTATCCAACAAAAAGTTTGGATTAAGGTCAATAATTGCAGCAGGTTAAGGGCTTTACAGCCCTATATGGCGAGACAATGCTCACTCAGAACTAGCTAAACTTCAGTATGCCTCAAAATGGCTTCATGGGGAATTATCCATTTGCATTGTATTTTTAAAGATGGTGGTTTAGTCTCCTTCTCAGAATTTCAAGCTAGATATAATCTTCTTGAATTGTTACTAAACCCAGGACCCTGCAAGATCTTTATTATATTAGGTAATGTTATTCGAGGGTTGTCTACATAAAACAATAGGTCGTCCGCGAAGGCCGCAACTTTATGTTCTATATTTCCTATCTGGATTCCCTTTACCGCTCCACTATTTCTTATCGTAGACAGGAGGGGTTCCAATGACAGAACAAACAGCAAGGGGGACAGTGGGCAGCCCTGTCTTGTTCCATTGGACATTCCAATGGATTCCGACCTCTCCCCATTTACCGTGATAATTGCGGTGGGCTCTCTATATAGTTTACCTATCCACTCCCGCATTCTCTCTCCAATCCCCAACACTTCTAAGTTGTCCATCATGAAGGCCCAGTCCACTCTATCGAACGCCTTCTCGGCATCAATCGACAGTAGTACCACCGGGGCCTTCCCTTTTCTACTTTTCTGAATGAGCATCAGAGTTCTCAACCCATTGTCTCTACCCTCTCTCCCTGGGACAAAGCCCACCTGATCTCCGTGAATCCATTCAGGCATTAGATCTTTCAGCCTATTTGCTAGGACCTTTGCGTACAACTTAGTATCGATGTTCAATAGTGAAATTGGTCTATAACTAGAACACTGGGAAGGGTCTTTTCCCTCCTTTTGAATGAGTACAACATGGGCCTGAAGAGATTCTCCTCTACCCTCCATCCCTCCTCCCAGTTCATTCATATACTTCTTCAGCTTAGGTAACAATATTTCACTGTATTTTTTATAGTACTTAACTGTATACCCATCCGGGCCTGGACTTTTTCCACGATGGCGATTTATCAAATTTAAAAATTAATCCAACAAAAACAGAGATCTTGAACATTAATGTACCAAAGAGTGAAAAGGAAAAGCTACAAAAAGAGTTCCCCTTTACATGGAGAGAAAAAGATTTAAAATACCTAGGAATAAAACTGGCTATCTCATATAAACAGCTGTATAGATTAAATTATATTTCTTTATTAAATGAGACCAAGGAAGAACTAAAAATATTAGAAGGAGGAAACCCATCATGGATAGGACGTATAAACCTAGTTAAAATGGTAATCATACCTAAAATACTGTATAGATTCCAAATGGTCCCAATTAAACTCCCAGAGGCCTTTTTTAAGATAATGAAAAAAATGATAATAAGATATATTTGGAGGAATAAAAAACCAAGAATAGCATACGAAATATTGAGTAGAACTAAAGAGAAAGGGGGAATGGGATTACCTGATGTCAAGAGATACTATAAAGCAGTAATTTTAGCAAGAATTTATGATTGGACATTCAACCACAAGGGGAAGAGTTGGGTACAAATTGAAAACGAATTGAGTGGGATTAGTCTGAGTAAGATGATATGGGTCCCAGCACATTTTAGAAGAATTAAAGAAAGCACAAGTATTTACACCTTAAATGTCTTAAGGGAATGGGATAATTTACACAAAAATAGGAAATGGGAATTCAATTCTATATTAATGCCTCTCGTAAATTCCGATTATTTCCCCCCAGGAAAGGATGAGATATCAGGTAGATGGTTTAAAAGGGAAGATATCCAACTGAGAGATGTATTGGATGAGGGGGAATTGAGACCATTTAAAGAATTAAAAGAGAAGAAGGGAGAAAGTTTTATTGGAATAGACGAGTGGAAATATCATCAGTTAAAATGTTTTATTGGAAAACTACCAAAACCCCTGAGATTAAAAAAGGATTGGAATAGGTTTGAAAGGTTGTTAGAAACACGTAGAGATGGGAAACACGGTATTGCTAAAGTTTATAGAATACTCACAGAATTAGACACAGACACAAAGTTAATTTTTATAACGAAATGGGAAAGAGATATGGAGGTGGTGTTGGATGAGGACCAACAGAACAAGATGTATAGATTGATACACGAGAATGTTTGTATGAGAGACGTGGAGATTAATTATAAATGTCTGACACGATGGCATATTACACCGAGTATTGAGCACAAGATGAGGAGGGAGAATTCTAAAATGTGTTGGAGAGGTTGCGGGGAGGAGGGCACGGTGTTTCACATATGGTGGCAATGTCCGAAAATTCAGGCTTTCTGGAAGACAATAGTGAACTCAATAGAAATAATAACTGGAAATGACATAGGGCTGGACCCAACGATGTGTCTTCTACATAATGCTGGGATCTCAGTAAATAAATATAAAGAATCAGGCATATGGTACTATCTAAACGCTGCAAAGGGGTTTGATACCCAAGTTCTGGCAAAAAACAGAGGTGCCGAAGGAGGAGGATTGGATCAACAGAGTAAATCAGATAAGTAGAATGGAAAGATCTTACTATATGCAGGAAGATAGGATGGGAATATACTATACAAGATGGGAAAAATGGGAAAACTCAGGAATGAAAGAGAAGTATAGAAAACTATAAATTAAGATACTATTGTGCCTCGAGAGAGTATAGAACGTGCTAAGTGGAGGGAGGGGGAAGGGGGGGCGGAAAGGGCAGGGAGGGGAGGGAAAGAAAAGATTTATTAGAAGGGGTAAGGTAGAAATGTATGGGATATTTATATGTATTGTTACCTCTTCTTTTGGAATTTTTTTTGTAATAATATGAAAAACTAATAAATATTTAAATTAAAAAAAAAAAAACCCAGGACCCTGCATTCACTATATCCATTCTCCCACAGTACACACAACAAGGAAATGCAATTATTTTAGTAAATAAAAACTGTTAAATGCCTCTTTTCATCAGCAGAAGTCGCGTGACTTCTATCAGTGTCCAGCAGAACACTGGTTAAACACTTCCCGTCCGGCATATGTACATAAACGGCCAGATGGGAGCAGTGCAGGAGCGGGTTGCCGTTCATAAATGGCACCTGCGTTTATAGGCTGTGTGCGCTCCCTGGCGAAACTCCGATCACTGTACGGGACCTCTGTGGGTGAGGTCCCAATCATGTGATCACAGATTGGCCAATCAGTGATCACATGAATAGTAGTAAGCAAGATGTCACTTCTGACATCATTGCTTACTAATTGTGAAATCTGTGAATGATCACAGAGGTCACATGGTACAAGGCTATTCACAACTGCTTGTACCATGTGACAAGCTGTGACCAATCACAGCTCACACAGTATTTCTCAATGGCTGCAAGAATGCAGCCAGCGAGAAGGAGAAATTATTGCTTTTACAGCCTTTATGGGTATAAAAGCAATCAGTGTAAAAAAAAAAAAAAAACCTCTTCATCACCCCCCACAAGTAGTACAGTGTCACTATGGTGACACTGTACTGCTAGGGTGACGGTATGTTAAAAAAAAACATAAATAATAATATAAAAAATAAAATAAAAATGTAAATTTTTTTTTTAAAAACTATCATTTTTGGTTATAAACTAATTTGGGTTATTTTTTTTTTTTACTAAAAAGATAGCTGAATACATTTTGGACAAGATTTGTGAAGAAAAATTATTTATTTGCAAACTTTTTTTAGAAAAACACTTTTTTAAAACTTTTTGGACATTTTCATTTATATAGCAAAAAAAAAAAATCCCAGTGGTGACTAAATACCACCAACATAAAGTTTTATCTTTCTCAAAAATATGCTAAAAAATTCATATGGGTACAGTGTTGCATGACTGTGCAATTGTAATTTAAAGTGTGATAGTGCTGAAAGCTGAAAATTGGCCTTGACAGGAAGGGGGTAAAAGTGTCCGGACTTGAAGTGGTTAAAGCTTGTAGGAAGAGTTTTCATTCTTCTCTCATGAACAGCATGATCCCTGACCCTCTGTCCGGACAGTGCTGATTGGTCCTGTGCTGGTCAAATGCACTCTCCCAAGAGAAAACAAAACCTAGCAATACACACCAAACTGAGCATGTGTATCTTGCCCCCAAGGCTCTGTTCTATCAGGAGATGAGTTGAGGGCAGTTGAAGAAGGGGAAGATCAGAGAAGGCAGGATCAAACATCCTTTTTACACAATGCAGAGGATTAACCCCTTAAGTTCCACAGTGAGTATTACAGGCATGTTTTACTGCATGTACAAACTGATTATACTGTTGTAGGTTTAGTAAAACTTTAAATATATGAACTTCTTCTATTTGCAATGCAAACATGTGAGTGCATAGGGATCCTCTTCAGACTGGCATCTATCTCCCACCCCATCTTTAACCTTTAAGGTTTTCTTCTCCCTCTGCTGTGCTATGCTCCTATCTTCCTAACGAGATGATTACCCATGCAAAGCAAAGGAGAATTACAGAGAGTGATGTCAGATCCCTTCAGGAGGATCAATGAGAAAGCACAGGAAGCATACTAGAGCCTGTTCAACTGAGTACATTAAATGTATCACAAAGGCTTTCTGCTTTCCCATATTACACTGTACTCCATGCTCATTATACTCCTCTTAGGTTTTATAAATTGGGTCTCCTGTTCAATCCATTCTGCAGAACATGCCACAGCCACAGAGATCACAGTGATCTTATACACATGCTTTGGTGTTGCCCTAAGCTTCATAGATACTGAACCAGGGTTATTGACAAGGTTATTCTAGTTTCCAATCTGAAGTTAAATTGGACCCCAAACAAAGTCTATTGGGAATACTGGATGACTGTGCAGTCATCAAAACATAACAAAACTGCTTTCTCTAGAGCCCTGTTCCAGGCTTGGAAGCGTATCCTGCAGTACTGGAAGTCTGAGCAGCCACCTACTTATCAGGAATATGTTCACCACATGAAGAACACTCTACACCTTGACCATATTATTTTTCAGCATAGTGGTGCCCCCAGTGCTTGGACAAGGTCATCCAGCACCCAGGGCGAAGGTAACAAACTGTGCCCCCCCCCCTTTCCTCAAAGGAGGAGATTAGGGGCTAATAGTGGCACACAGAGCAAAATGTAGGTAATATTTGTGGTATGAGCAAAATAGTATCACTAGTTGTGGTACACTGCAGCAAACTGAAGAGTTTAAAATCAGTACACAAATAAGGGGCTTACAGCGGTAAAGAAAAAAATTGTCCCTGTGCTGCTGGTGTTACTGGAAGGAAAAAATGTCTGTGTCAGTGGTGTTGCTAAGTTGAACAATGGTGGTGCATTAGTGTCAATGGGGAAAAAACTTCTGTTGCATCGCTGGTGTCAGTCTGAGGAGGACTATCAGTGGGATGAAGGAGGGAAGAGTAGCTGGGCTCTGAGGGATGCATAGAACTAGGGGTCTAGGGGGGTTCTGAGGGAGGAAGGGGTGCTGAAAGGTCTTATTAAGATGTGCAGCTATCATTGTTGCCCCTCTAAAAAAAAACAATCTGTGGCAGATCAGTTTTCAGAGGGTGTTTTAATAGGCAGTGAAAGGGCGATATGCCATCTCCTTGCTGCCTGTTTTGACCCACTGTGCCACATCTGTGTGCATTGCATGCAGTTGCAGCGGGCCATGGGATGAAAAAAATGGGGCTGAACTGCTTGCTTTTAATGCCCTTTGTTTGCCCATGTGAATGAACACCAAGGCCTTGTTTACACTTGCAGTTTGGGATGGGAGTGGGGGCAGTAAAAGTAAGAGTTTTTGGAATGTTTTCACTGCCTCCCAGCTGCCCCCAACCCACTTTCCAAGCTGCAAAGATGGCTATGTGGGAAATACACATGTGCAGCAAAAATTATCCCACATCATGTTTGACAGCCACTACTGCTTGCTGAACATGACCCATGTAAGCAAATGATGCTGAGCTACAACAGCATGCAATGCCCTAAAGCTCAATTCACACCTTTTCCGTATTGACAGAGTGTGCATGTTTTTGTGCAGCACATATAGGACAGTCTAATCATTTCAATGTGCTGCCCTTTGTGCAAAAAACACGCCAAAGAAACTTTTTAAAACTTTTGCAGCATCAAACCACATGATACTTTGTTACCATGTATTATACTGTGGCACATGAGTGCAAAAGCAAGGTGCGTGGGGTGCCATTAAGAATTAGTGGCATCACTGCATGCCTGCAAAAGAGCTGTGTGATTTTGTGCATTACAGGAATGCGTTTTTGTGCACATTTCTGCAGTGCACAAATGTCAACCTAGGTGAAGAGAGAGGAGGCTAAGGGGGTCTGAGGAGGAGAAAATGGGTCTAGTGGAGTGAGAGGGAGAGGGAGGTCTGGGGGTCTAAGGAGGATAAGGGATGTCTGGTGCTGAGCTGTCCCCCTTTAACCCTTGTACTCATATATAGCACAAAGTGCCTGTCTGGAATGAAAAGGCAGCCACTTCTTCAGCTCTCCAGTCATGTGAAATGTCACATGACAAGGGGAGTGAGGAAGAGGAACTCTGTCCTCGCTCTTCAGTAGATCCCTGCTGAGATTGAGGTGACTCTCTATTGGTCCCTACAGGCTGGAGGGGGGAAAAAGTAGAATCCTCTCTCCGGCAGAAGCCGTCTGCTGCTCTTTCTGACAGGAGTGACACTGCAATCACCATTGTCAGTGAGGAGCATCAGGATAAGCTACATGGCTAGTGCACCCCCCCCCCTCCTTCCTGAATACAAAACCTGGGACAGGTACCCTTCTCTTGTCCTGACCCTGGATGCCCCACTAATTTCTAAAAATGATGGGGGAGTTGGATGGCAATACCTGGCCTTTCACCTGTCGATTGTGCATTAAGCAATAATTTCTTATTCTGTGTATTTTTCTTTTATATGACTATACTGTAAACTACAATGCATGCTTTTGGGTATGCCTTGCACCATGTGATAACCATGGTTCCACTCATATTGTATGCTTGCTCTGGAAAACTTTAGTATACCATTTCCTGATTAGAACAAAAAATTGCCTATCACAGTCTGTCTGCATTGAACATATGTTGGGATAGTTATGTTACATACACAAACACATAGAGGTTTGTCTAAGAGACCAATGATAATTCCTAAATCCCACATATGTGTATTAACCCTGAGGTCATAGTGAATGGCCTCTACATGGCATAATTGTCCACAAAATGGAAGTCCCAGTCAACTTACATTGCTGAAGGTCCCTGGTATATCCATCTTAGGTGTCAACTGAAATAAATTGGGAGCCAGTTACTCTGAAAACCTAAAAGAGTGGACACCTAAAAAACACATTACCTCTAAAGAGTTTCTTTTTGTGTTTTAATATTTACAATGAACAGTAGCTCTCTTAGTGGAATTCACCTTCTTGGAAACAAGGTTCTAGTGGTGCCTTGGTTCTAGTTCCCAGGCAGGATATAACAGAATTTTCATTTGTGGACTTCTTCCTCAGCCAGTCACTCACCGCTGTGGAATAACTGCAGGAGCTTCTGTATAGCATGCTCAAGTAACTTGAAGTCTTTAGTATCATTTCAATTAAAATTTATTTGAAATAGAGACCCCTCAACACACAAACCTTTTGTGCAGAGGTTCAGGGGAGAGAGGCCTGTAAAAAAGTTGGTTGGATGTAAATAAGTTGCCAGTACACCTCTGTCTTCTGCAATATAAACAACTTTTTTGATGTGGATTTAGCATGAAAGTGGATACAGGGGGCACCCAAAGGAGGAGGTCTGGGCCATTTTCTGCAATACTATTGCACAGAGCAAATATTTTGTTTTTTTAGAAAAAAAATTAAGCCATTACAATCACTTTGCAATCACCTTCTAGAGAAACTGGCTGAAAAGATCAACAACATGAGCTTAGACACAATCAGAACTAAACAGGACACAGGCTGGCTGCAGCCAAGCTGCCTGTAAATTAAGAAAATATCAAGAATACAGACTGCCTGCAGCAGGGTTGTTACATAAATAACAAACAAAGCTAATAAGGATGAAAAAGAACAACTCTTTGAATTAAGTGTACAAAGTTGTTATAGAAGTAGTCTCCTTTACATCGTTTGACACTGTGATACTTTTTAATCACTGGACAGCTTCACTTCCCAAATTAATTTGTAATGTCTGCCAAATTTTTTTAATGGTATTCAAATTACTCAGCAAATGAACCTACTTGAAACACATAAAAGTGTCAGAAATTTATCTCCATCACTTTGGAAAACATGATTCCTCTATTAAACAATAAGTTAACGAGGTGTTATATTGTTAGGAGAACAACCGTATATCACTCTTAATTGTG